TTCTCTGCCCCACAGTCTCTCCCACTCATGACTAATGCTTTGTGCATTTTGGGAGGACTATGGGTCAGTCTCTACCTTAACACAATTCTTGTAGTAACGTATTTTTATATATATACATATGTGTATATATGTGTATGCATTTACATATATATACACATAAGTATGCTACCTAGAATTTCCACATATTAGCATTGTTATGCCTTTTATTTAGCATTCAACTTCTCAAGAGATTTTCAGATGTTGAGGTTTTTAGATGACAGGACAAGATTCTGTCAAAAAGAGAAAGGTGATGTTATTCTCCTAAAGATATTTCGCCTGTGTGTTTAGACTTTTACCCCGATTTAGTTTGAAACCTACACCTAACATTTCCATAATTCCCATGGGGTTTTTTTTAAGAAAACCCAAAACAAAAAATGCGGGCGAAGCACCTGAATTCTATGGACTGGTTTGTATTAAAATGCTCACTTTGCAGTCCAAGAGTACATCCTGGATCAACAGCAAGTCAGTGTAAGGTGAAAACTGTAATGGAGAAATGTTCCTCATGAAATTATGCAGGATGCACAGACTGGGGAATTACACTTCCTGTGGCAGTGGTATTGAGGTGGAGAGAAATGCAGAGCAGATGATGGAAGAAGTTGCATCCACTTGACCATATTTATGCAAACTATGATGCAAACATCACCAGCATGTGGTATTGGAGGTGCTACATCTAGTCACACCACTGCGTATCACACATTACATGAAGTAATCTGCTGTTGTTACTTCTCAAAGTTGCATTTGCTTGCACTGACAGAAAAGGAACCAGATTCCTAAAATCACTGAAGACATCTGATGTCCTTTAAAAACTGACTGAAGACAGTTGTTGGTTTTTGTTTTTTTTTTTGTCTCTGGTTTTATTTGTTTGTTTTAAATAAACTTGTGAGATCCTCAAATTAGATTATGAAGAAAATGTCTAATGGCCTACAATAAGAGCTAATTTCCTTCCTGCCCCAGCAAAACACAGTGCCCGTCTTGCTGCTATAAAGTAACAGAAAATAAGTCTTGACAGGAGTTTGACAGGTATCTAAATGGTCCCTCTGCCAAGACAAATGAGCAAGGCCTAAATCATCGCTAATGCTGTCTGTGCCTATTTTTGTTTCATGAAGACACATACAACAACCTGGTTAGCCATCTTACTGCGATGCTTCCTTTACCTGCATCAGTACGAAATGCTCAGTAATGACAACCTTTTCACCCCTTAATTTTACTGAGTAAATCAGTTGCCCTTTACTAGGTTGAGAGGAACATGCTAACCTATACTTGAGGCACAGAAGTATTTCCTTTGATTTTCACAATGATGCTCTGAGTACTTAATAAGGGGGTGCTTAAATATAGATTTGTGATTCATCTGGAAGTACCTGCAAAATTCTGTGCTGCACAGAAACATATGCAGGTCATGATAAGGATACTTTGAACTTAACCTTACCTGTACCTTAGTTACTGCAGCTGCCACAGAACTACAGGTGTCAAAGCAGCATAACTCTGGCACCATCCTAAATCTCATGGTTGGCCAGGGACTTCAGTTTCACTAGATCAGTTGACTGAGGACACATTCTTCCTCCTGAGGTAGTGTTTAAGCTGGAGGTCTGACTTTCCGTTACTGCTGGCCTATGACATTTTCTCTGTAGGACTCAAGCTTTTATTTTGCCAAGTCCCTCTGAAGAGAGTGGTCCTGGAGCAAGTACAACGGTACACTGTAATGACCCAGCTGCCTCAGGAACTCAAAATTCACAGTTGGCCACTACCATTATCTGCAAACTCTCTTCTTCTTTTTGTTTCTTTGGTTTTTTGGTTGTTTTTGGTTTTGTTTCTCCCATATGGCTAGCAATGGGTCCAGATTGCATTTGGTAGAGCTCAGGTTTAGTATGCTGCCAAAGGGCAGAGAGGGCATGCTCACATCCTGCAGAGTCTCAGTGGCTTGGGATCAACTACTGTTTTGAGGCAAATGACATTTAGGTTACAAATGCACACATTTTTAAGCAGCAATCAATTAATTGCGCAGATCTAGCTAAAAAGTCAGATACATCTGACTTTTAAAAATCCAAGCACTGGAAAAGCAGATATTACCACATTGTTAGTGTTTAGGATTTGTATCTTTGAAAAATGACTCAGAGTTTGTTTATTGAGGTTGGCAAAGTATGGAAGAGGATTTGGGAAAAGAGGACAAAAAATCACCACATTTGTATGGCTGATTTTATCCCAAAACAAAACTATTTTGCTACATGAGCCCCTTGTAATAGCAATACTGGTAAATATCTAAGGTAGTGTTATTGCTAAGAATTTTAATACAGAGAAAGTAATCTGTTCTTCCTTTGTTGCTGTTTTATTTCAGCTAAAACATATTTATTAAGTAAATCAAATAAAACCCCAAGTCTTAATTTCAATATCCCATAACACAAGAAGTCTTTTAATTTGTTCTGTGTTTCTGTAAGTAGGAAAGAATAACAACCAGCATCTACCTCATAGATTTAGTTGCTCAGACAAAGCAACCACACAAACCCTTCTGCCAGAGCAAATGTTCATTAAACTGGGTTTTCATGTGTTGTGTGTGGTGTTTGAGCGGAAACATATAATTTCCTCTTAAAATACACCTTGAATCCACAATTCAAATGTCAGATCGTTTTTTACTTTTTGATACACTGATACTTTAATTATGCATTTCTGCTGTTCCCGTGAAATGTATTAGAGACAAAACACCCTACTGTCAAGATACTGTAATTACTGAGGTCATATGCGCATTCCTAATATTACTGTCACTAGTGTATGGTACTATTTATAAAGCAGAGAAGTGAAATTTACCTTATGCATATAATGAGAATATTTCAAACCATCTTGAGGTGAAGAGAAAATTTCTATCTGAAAATATTCTGATGACAAATTACTCAGTAAGTACCTCTAAACCACAGTCCTTCCTGAAAAGCCCAAGGGTGATGCCAACCCTAAACTCAGTATGTATGGTAGACCAAATTTTTATGGCTGCAAAACATCATCCCTCCACTGAAACCAAAGCTGCCACGAAGACTATGTAATCACACTTGAAGGTCAAACTGAGTTCTTAAACCCCAGATCCTGAATTTCGCTTTTCAAAGCATTCTACTGAACAGAACAAGGAAATATCATTAGTGAAGAAAGAAAACAACCACTACAATGGCAAAGCATTTCCATTTTGTACATCCATATGAACATAACAGACTGTGAAACTAGTTGCAGTTCCATGTTGTAAACATGTACATTATTAAAATCAACATGTTCATTATTAAACTCCATATTATGCACGCTTCTTTTACCATCAGCTCATTTGTGTCTTTAGAAACTAGGAATGTCTTCTGCAGCAGTCCTGGGAAGCGCAGTGTGCCCCAAAGCTATTCAGAAATACAGCATTCATGGCAGATGCACTTTATTTTCTTTAACGACTAAATCCTCCACTTCCCATTGTTCACAGGTAAAAGTAGAAATAGCAATATGTGAAATACTGTTGTCTGAAAAAATAACCACCTTCATATTCCTTGAAGTCTGAAAAACAGGTATGTGGCTTGAGCAGATGCACACGATAGTACATTCTTGCAAATGTTCCAGTGGATTAATCATGGGATGATCTGCAATGTTGGTGGTCAGTCATTTCCCGTTCCCCAGCTTCTCTCTTGTTCTACAGTCACGGTGCTGGCAGCTGACTCCTCACACTTGAGAGGAAGCTTTAGTAGTGCACAGTGGCTGTGTGCATGTGCTGGTGGCACAAGCGAAGCAAACCCCTTCCCTGCAAGGCATTGCCTCATGTACAGACAGTGAGGACTCAGTCGTAGTGCTCTCATAGTGCTGGGTGTATGCTTGTCCCTCACAAACTCATTCCTGGAAGGAACTTCTCCAGTGAGATGGTGACTTGTGTAGGTAGACATGTACAGAAGACCTCCACTTACTTAAAATTTACAAATGAAGAGTAAATCTTAGGGTCTAGCTGTGTCAGCAAAGAAAAAGCTGAGCCTGGCTGAACCCAATATGTAAAAATGGTTTCAAATCACTAGGGATGAAATTGTCTCCTGTTTTCAAGATCTACACTGAACTGTATTGCGTAAGTTATTCCTGAACAATGAAGAGAGTTGTTCACTGCTCATCTAAGTCAATGGGGATTTGTCTGCTAATTTCAGAAGAATCTGAAATAGATTATCAACGTTTATGACAGGACTACTTTAGGCACCCTGAACCAGATTCTAAAACCAGATACTTCCTGTGCTAAGACGTCAATTTGCCATCTCTTACCTGGATCCTTTACTGCTATGGTCATCATTTTGTAAGAGACAAGAACTTATTTAGCATTCATCTCAGAATGGCTATTGAGGAAAATAATGATTTCCAAACAAATTTCCCAGCTTATTCAGAGTGAAAGAATTGTGGCTTAATGATGAGTTCCTGGGAAGAGTGATAGGCAGAAAATATTTCCTATAAATAAAAATTCTTGATCTACCAGTACTGTTAAACAAAAACTATTTTGAGATGCCTTCAGGACTTGTGTGATGCAGCCTAAAGAACTGATCTGTTTCTCTGAGAGTGTTTGAGATCTTGGTATGCAATGACTATTTCACTTTCCTTTGCTTTATGCACCTGCTAATGGGATGATAATGTTTTGGAGTATCCTGCAGGGATGGTAATAATTTGGGCATCCCTTGAGGATCAAGATCTGAATACTTTGGAGAGACTCTTTTTCTGTTCAAATGTTTGATTTGTCTTGCAATGTGCAAAATCTTTTAAGCAGTCACTGAGCTTATTAGAAGGGGGAAAATAGACTCCAACCCAGTTACATCTTGTGAAAGTTGATAGTTCAAAATCTAGTGTTAAAGGAAAGTACTGAAAGCAAAAATTACTGAAAGCAAAAAGTACTGAAAGGTTCCAATTGCCTCATACTGGTTCTTTCTTTCCAATTTATTACGGGCTACCTGGCACTACTGTTTACGACATGTCACTCTCATGGCTGGTATCGGGAAACGTGAAGATTACATAGCCCAGATAGTAGGTCCATGCTCACTCCCTGCTGAAGTGCACAGCAAGAAATGCTATTCCCAGGTCTGCATCAGACTCCCTCTGCGCCACTGCTGTCAGAGGCTGATGTGGTTTGACAACTATGTGTTTTCACCTGGTCTTGCCCTCTGACACAGCTTGGATTTGCACACTCCCACCCTTGTCCCCACTTTGTTCACAAGTAGAATATGAAATGATGTATTTGCAATGGCTGGTGCTGAGCTAGGCAGATGTCTCCCCAGATTTTAATGCAACAAGTTCAGAGTCCTCTATGTATCTTCCATTTAACTGTTCATTGTTGGAATCATGGTGGTACAAGTAGACAGGGACCTCTGTGATAGATGTGGCAGTGTAGGAGGTAGATCGCGTGGAACAGTGTTCTCGGCGCCTTTGGCCCCACTGAGTTTTGTACTGTGTCCACTGCCTCTTCAAAGCTCCTTGTACCTGTTAAAGAAACACATAGCTAGGCATAATCTAAATCCCTATAATGAGACATTCTAAAATATATTGAAGGAAAAAAAGAAAGGAAGGAAAGGAAGGAAAGGAAAGGGAAGAATTTAGGTCTAATTCCATCAGATTCAATCTATCCCTCTCCTCACCTCTGCTCCCAGTTCCAGAAGCAGCAGCAGTTGCTCAGGTCTCAGCATTAATTCCCTTGTTACTTACCCTACGATAGCAATTACAGTTTCTGCAGTTGCTGTTTGTGAAAGAGGTTACAGGTGATCTGTTCCCACAAGAGGTAAATGTGGAATAGATTGCTACAGGGGAATACAGTAGAATGTTACAGTAGAAGAGGGAAAAAGAAGGAGGGATGTGGATTAAAACCTATCTGATGCTGCAGTTGGATCCTTGCCCCTGGAATGGCAAATGCATTGTGATCTCTGAAGAAACTTAACCTTGAGCACAACTGGCCATGAATGTCAAGTACACTTCAAGAGCTTTCCAGGGTAATTTTGTAGAAAGAGTTGGAGGATTAGTACAGCTGAACAGAGGTTTAGTTCAGGTAATTCAAGAGCAGGTTATGTGCTGGCATAAAAAAAGTAAGCGCTGGTCATAGCCTTCTGCATCACAGAGAATCTCAAACTTAGGGCATTAACCTTCTAGGTATAAAAATATTTTATTCAATATTTACATTAAGAGTGACATTATATATATGGTGCTAGGAGACTACTTGATCAATTGAGTCCTTCCAGGGAATAAGAATCCCTGCTCTGACCGCATATTCAGGTGTGCTGGCACTCACACTGTAACTAATGCTGGACACTGTGAGGATAAAGCAGAAATCTTGGGTGTGCAGGGCTGCTTTGCAAATCTGCAGCTCTCTTCACCACCACCACCAGGTCTTTAGCACCTCTAGCCACCATGAACATCTGGCCTTCTCTTCTGTCCCTAGGTATTGAATGTGTTTTCATTTCACAGCAGCTCATCCATTAAGATTTATCTCAGGGTCTTTAGTGAAGATGACAAAACCATGCCCTTATAGCCTTCCTGTTCCTCTTCTATCTCCCTTCCCCTTCTCTTTGCATAGACCTCAAGGCTTGGGAAGAAAAGCTGCTGTGAAGGTGATGAGCTCCTTCTGAGTTCTCAAGATGCTCTCATTTGAACTGGACCACTAGGGCAACCACATGTCTGGAGATAACATGCTTAACTGAAGAGGGAAGAACAAAGTCACTGAGTCTTAAAAACCCTGCCATGAGGAGCTTACAGTCTTCTTCTCAGAAGGGAATGACACACTGTGTGTACGGTCAAGGAGAGAACAAGCACATCCCTTCCAGTTCAGCCCATAATTAGAAGCGCCATTATAAAGGTTTAAAAGGCTCCACAGAACAGTGAGAGCACAAGGTCAAAGCAGCTGTGTTTTTATTCTCTGTTGAACTGCTGGCCCATGCAGAAATCTGGCCACAAATGGATAATGGATAGTACAAGCTGCTGCGCTTGAGCAAAACAACGTGTTAATCTAGATTTCTGCCACGATTCCAAGGATCTCAGATGATCATAATTCAGTGCCAACTAAGACTGGTCATGCATAGACTTCAAATGTGTAAGCAGCATTACTGAAAATCACATGCACGGCTATAATACATTAACGACCAAAGAGGCTCCTGGGGACCAGGAGGGGCAGAGTGATGCCTGCCATGCTTTCTGCTCTGATAGCAGATGAAAGAAAGTAAAGTCAAAAGAAATGAAAAGCCTGAGTTTATTTGCTCTGCCCTTCAGGATTTTAAAGATTTTTCTATTCCCTATTAGCCATTCATGCCTCTCTGGCACACAAGATATATGGCTGGGTTTTTTTCCAAACAGACTTTCCATTTTGCTGGCCAGCTTTGAAGTCTAGAAACAATCTCAGGCCTGGAAATACGGTCTGGTGATCAGACTATTTCAGAGACCTTGTATCATCTGTACAACACTGTTGTTGTTGGATAGAGAACCTACAGTGTTGCTGGACACTGAGATTTATATATGAAAATGCACAAGAAAATCAGTCATTTCAAAATTCATGTGAAAACCCATTGTTTATGTGTTCTTCCACTTGAATGCAGGCATCAGCACAGTTTTTTATTACTATTTTTACATTTCTTTCTATAGATGGGCTCATGGCAATAAAGTGAGGTGAGGTAGTAGGCAATGAATGCAACATAAAACACTGTCAGGTGGTACTGAGTTTAGCATTGTTTGTCCTGGCTAAACTTCATGTATTTCAGCCTTAAAGTTAAATATTCCAGTAGGAAAAAGTAAATCCCAGAGTTTTCAGGCTCCTGTGGTACTAAAATTAATCTCCTTGCCCCACAAGGAATTTTCTCATGAGCACCAGTTTTGAGCTCTGTGGCAGCAGATGTACACAGCAGCTTGGAAACTATCTCCTGCCATGACTGAAGACCAGACTGTGGCTTTGGTCTATGTCTTACTGCACACAGCAAGACTGGGGGAAGTTACCTCAGCTTAGTTTTCTTGGGCAACCAAACTCAGACCAGCACTCCCTTTGTGGGAGGACCTAATACCATCCTGGCATTCATTAGTCTGTTGCTGTTCTTCTATAGGTTTTATGCCTTATATATCTACCTATTGTGTAATTGCAGGAATAAATGCTACTCTAGCACAGCTAGTGTAGTTACATAAACTTGCTTGATGTTTACTGGTAATGTGCTGATGCAAGTAGAACCAAACTGTCTTGAGTCCGTATTAAAGAGGTGTCATCTTTGACTCTCTGTCTACCTATAAGAAAATAATGAGTGGGTTTCTTAGCATCCCTGCCACTGACCATGTTAGTCAGTCTGCAAGTCTGAAGCAGATACAATAATTGAAAATGGGTGTAATGGTGAAAAGTACCCAAGCACCACCAAAAATCTCTCTCAACATGCCTGGAAACCTGAATCCCCATGGCCGTTTGTTCTTACTGCCCAACACTGATGAATGTTTTCTGACAGCTGCTCAACTGTTAATCCTAAAAGGAGTCATTAATCCTAGACGCAGTGTGAAGCTACTTGGAGGTAGGTAAGCTGCCCATGTGGTTACTTATGGAAGCACTAGAGTACAAAACTGGAAGCAACATTTCAATATCACATTAATTTTTGTATCATTTTGGCATCATCCTTTTCAGATGTGTCCCCTCAGTGATGGCTCGCTGACAATTTTTCTATCCAAAGTGGATATTCAGATAAGAGCCTTTCACAAGGAAGAGGCCTTTTTACTGTGGGCTGCCAGATGTGTCAAAAAGGCTTTCAGAAGCAGCTAGGGGTTTGGTGACTATTGCTGTTTTTTAGGATTTGGATCTAGACCATGCATTGTCAGTCTACGTAAGTAATGACTGGCTGCTATTGCTGCTTCCTGAAAGCAGTTCAGTCAATGCAGAAGTCCACAAATTGCAGTGCATCTCTGAGGTTGGACATCTGAATATCATGTATGAATGTGGTGTATTTTCTTAATACAAATACATTTATTCTGAATTCTAAATTAAATGTAATACAACAGTTAGTGAACAAAAAAAAAGAACTGTGTATTTGTTTTAGACTAATTTTCATTCCTGGAATGTGGCTTTTAGTTTTCTGCCTTGCATACTACGGATCAGTTCATATGACAGGTAAATTCATCCATACCCTGCAATCTAATTTTAAATTAATTATATGTATGGTTTACAATGATGCTGACAAACAGATGTTCCAGATATATGCATTATTGCATAACTTGAAAATCTTATTCCTGTTGTAAATGTGGATGTGTTTTTCTGACACTGGCATTGCCAAAAGTACTTTGAAATTAGAGCTATCAGAGGAAACATATCTAAGAAACAAAGAGCCTTTAAGATACATTACGTTTTCAGTGCATTTTCTTGCAGCCTTTCCTCACTTTTAGCATTGCTACAGCCTTTAATCTAGGCACAAATCCATATGTTCTAATTAGAGTTGGAGAATTACGGAGTCATCAACCTTTTTACACTACAGCTACCAAATATTAAGCAAATTTGTTTTTCAAAATCTAATCTAAAAAAAAAGTAAGGTGATGCTGGGGAAAATGAAGAAGGAAGAAGACAGTGTTCAAGACCATGATTTTTGGGTAACACATTGTTTGGAGGCAAGTGAGAACATGCTAGAGCACTGCCTGTACATATCTATGCAGTCACTCCTACGGAGAAAGGGTGTTTCAGAAACTACCTGACTACTACTCTTTCCCCATGCCAGGGAGAATTGGTAGTCTTTCTGTATTTCCAGGGCATGGAGATTGGACTGTGCCAGAAAGGGATGAGAGTAAGGAAGAAGGAGAAAAGTGTTACTAGCTTGCAGATTCTGGGGACAGAAATATGATAAGAAAGGAGTTTTACATCTCTCCAGCTTTGTTTAATTGGGTCCATGAAACCATGAACTTCTGCAGCATGATCTTTACAGCTATCATTTGATGTTAGGTTCTGGTGTCATTAACTGCTCATGCTTTGTCATTCTTTTGTATGTCTCCTGAGAAGCCATGCTACAGAATTACAGCGGGAGGCCTCTAATATTTCCTACTGTTGCACTTCTCTGTATGTTTATGCAGGGAGCCAGCCAGAGGGAAATGGACAGTGATGCTGACAAGTGGTGGCAGAATTTAATACTCTCTGCCATACTGAAAGTTAGCAAAGCAGCCAGTAGCACCTTATCAGTAACATAATTTGCTTCAAGTTGCTATCAAAACATCAGCATGGTCACATCGTTACTTGGGATTTGGAATAAACAGGAGTACAAATATCTCTTTAAACTGACATACTGAGTGTTAACACCACAAAGTTTGTTCCATATCTAATTCAGCTGCTCCGATTCAAAATTAACTTTTTAAAGAATTTCCTAGCTTGGCTAAGATAGGCGGTGTTTTATTTTGCTACAGTTGAATGCTGCTGATACATTTTTCTGCTAACCGTCTTTGGAAAATGGCTCACTGTAGGAATTTAAATGGCTCTTGATATATTTTAATCTGCTATTATTTAAGAAAAACCACAAAACAACAACCCCAAAAGGTAATGAAGCAGACCTACATCCAGCTGCAGGTATACACAATATTGATCCAGTTGTAAGAGAATGGGAGACATCTTCGCCTCAAGTGCATTTATTTCTCGATTACTATGTGAAAAACACTGACCTTAAAAAGGATAATCCTCAAAGGAGCAAAAGTAATCATACTCCTTCAGGCTCCTCTACTCTTGACAGTGCTACAGGGGATAGCATCTGCCATGGCTCTGACACTAGAAGGAGCACAGGGCTCTCCAGGACACGCCCCTGCAAATCCCCACTACTTCTTATGGGGCATCCTGGTCCTTCCCACTATTCTGGGGCAGAAACGGAAGCAGAGCGTTCTTCTTTGCTTAGACATCTGTCTCAAAACTGCAGGTGGTAGGGGAAGAATATTATGCCTGTCCCTCTTTTGGGTAATGGTATCACCCCTGATTCATCTGCTCAGAGAGGCTCAAGTCTCGCTCTGTAGAGATCTTTCAAAAATGCATGCTGTTGCTTGTTTATAGAGAGTAAAAAGTGACACATGGTTTCAAAGTTTACAGTGTGGCATGATTAATGAACACTACTGTGCCTATTTTTCAGGTTCCATTCATTTGCTGTATTTCAGATGCTTACCTCACCATTGAAGAAGCAGAATATAGTTGCCACAAGTAAGCCCTAAGAGAAAGTAAAAGAAAAGAGTTTAGAGATTAGAATATGCAATTTTTTTTTTTTGGTGTTTGGAAATTTGGACTTGATGGATACAAGATAAAAATCATTAGTCCATTTCCTCTGCATCACAGATCCTTCACTTAACCTCTCCCTCTTTCACAGTTATTACATTGATTTTTGTCTTTCAACATATTTTAACATTTTCTTCTATATTACTAGCTGTCCTGGTTTCAGCTGTAACAGTGATTTTTTTTCTCCTTCCTAGTAGCTTGTGCAGTGCTGCATTTGGCTTTAGTCTGAAAACAATGATGATAACACACAGATGTTTCAGTTGTTGCCACATAGCGCCTACACTGATCAAGGACTCTTTAGTCTCTCATGATCTGCCAGTGAGGAGAGGCACAAGAAGCTGGGAGGGAGCAGAGACACCTGACTCAAACTAGCCAAAGGGTATTCCATACCACATCACATCATGCCCAGCATATAAACTAGGGCAAGTCACCCAGAAAGGATCAATTGCTGCTTGGGTTGGGCTGGGTATCTGTCAGTGGGTGGTGAGCAATTGTATCATGCATCACTTGTGTTTATTGTTTTTTTCCCTTTTAGTTTTATATTTTCTCCCCTTGTTATTTCCATTATTATTATTATTAGTAGTAGTAGTAGTAGTAGAAGTCTTATATTATACTTTAGTTACTGGACTGTTCTTATCTCAACCCATGGGATTTACAGTCTTTTGATGCTCCTCCCCATCTCAGAGTGGCTGCATGGTGCTGAGTTACCAGCTGGGCTTAAAACATAACACTAGCATTTATAGATCATCTATTTTGGCTATGAAGTTACTTTTGTACAAGAGGCCTAGAAAAGGAAAATTAAACTGTATGTAATGCAGGTCTATATGTTGCTTAGAGTGGAGTACCACACTGCACTGACTTTGCTGAAAAGATGGCAGAGGACTTGTGTCCTGGACGTTGCTAGAGTGCAGTTACCCAATTAAAAGCTCTTGGCCAAGAAGAATCCTTCTGCATCAGGAAGGCTTTGAATTGAACTGTATGTCAGGATACATGAATTTGTATGTGTGGCATCACGATGGATGGAGAGGATGTGAAAAGAGGTATAACTGGTTAGAAAAAGGAAAAAAAGAACCAAAACACAACAGTTGAGTTAGAAGGTGGTGGTTGAGAGTGGCACAGAAAATAGAGAAGAGAAATTTTAGATCACAGCTGAGTCCTAAATGGCTTAAAATTAATTTTTGCCATGGTTGTTCCGATAACATTTCACTACTGCTACAGGATTAAACAGGGTGAAGGCAGAAACACAAGGTGGGAAAGTGTGGAATTAGTAAGAGAAAATTCTTGCACACAGAGCCTGCCACTCAGACTCAGGTAGTTACGCTGGTCCACATACTACCCACACTTGCTCTTATTAAAATAGTGTTCCATAGAATCACTGGGAGCCAAATTCCTTCATTTTAAATTACTTAGAGCAGTTATTATAAACTAAATGTACAGCAGTTTGTGAAATGGAGGGGAAAACTGCAGTACAATAGCTTCTGTTCCCAAGGGCTGCTCTGAAGGGCTTTACAGCTGTTACCTTTTTTATAAACCCTCATTTAACTCATTGCCAGTTAAATTGTAGCTAATGCTTTGTTAAAATGCCTTGGACTCTCAAATGCATATTTTGGACCACAAAAGAAGGGTAAGAAATAACTGTTTTAACAAAATACATATTAGAGATACACAGGCTGGCTTGAAGAGGTGCTAACCACTGCAATTTTGGCAATTATTTTACTCCAAAAATTTTTTTCTACCAGAGAATTTGTAACTTGACATAATTTCAAATATCAACACAGAAAAACATGTGTGAGGAGGAGGAAGGGTAGACAAAGTGAGAAAAAAGAAAGTTTCTTTTCATGCTTTGGTAAAACAGTGAGTATTTTCAAAAACCTCAAATCCCAGTATATAATATACAATGTACAACAGATTGTCCATAAGCTCTGTTTTGAGAAACACCACAAAGAAGTCAACCAAAACCTTACACCTCTAAAGCAGGACTTTGTCAGACCACAGATTCCTAAATGGAAAATTTATGCAAGGAGAGCAAATGCATCACTTCCCAGTGGCCTATATTGATTTTTCTCTTGTGCTGCACACACTACAGTAATTCGCAGAGTCTTGCCAAACATCTGCTGTTTTGAACTGCATGGTACATGGCTGCAGCAGGGGTCTTTGCTAGTTTGCCGAAGTATGTTTTATTAACAGCAGTCAGCTAGCAAATGAAGTGAATCTCGATCTCCTCTGGGAGTAGGGACACTCAGTGGACAGTCTACATGAGGCAGACATGAAAGACAGCAGGAGGAGAGGAAGAAGCAGAGAAATTTTTTAAAGTCTATTCTTCAGCAAGAGTGCTCAGGGGGAATTTGGGAACTACAGTTCACCTAAAGGCAGAAACTGAACCTGAACTATAAAAGTGAAAGCATTTTCCATTTCAGTTCCTGTATAATATTTGAATTCCTCTTCTACACCCTGCAATTGCTCTCCTTGTCTTCTGTTGTAGAGTGCAGTTCCCTAAACTAGCATTTTTTCGAGCCAACTTCAGACAGAAAAGCTAAAGAGGAAGCTGTGGTGATGCCTTGTATCCCTTTTAATTGCTCTTCTGCTCTGGAGTGAGGGAGTTGAGAGCACATCTGGCTCTTTGTTATTTTGAGACCATGTAGATGGTACATCTTGGGATGAAGAAATTATTTTCTCCAGTTTGTCTTGTATATGTCTCATTGCTCTTCTTGCACCAGCAACATCCCTCTGGGCTCTTCCATCTCTATTTCTATTATTTATATTTCCATTTTATCGTAAAGTTTTGCCCATGGCTCAGTACTACTGGTATCTTCAGCTGTAAAGCTATAGAGGTATCAGTAACAGACACCAGCTTTGTCTTTTCAGAGCCAGGAAGGCTTAGGATGATGGTAATTCTACAATGGATCTATTAAAACATGTGAAAGACTGGATGTAGGTTACTTCATGTAAGGCCTACAGGTTATTTCTCGTACCTCTTTGACATACATCTTCCATATTATCTCTAACTGCCGTTGTTTTTTTGTTCAGGGTGCAATTCCTATTGAGGATGAGATCTCTAGGTCAATTATATCTTTCTGCCACTGTGTGGACTTGTTAAACTAACCTGTGACACATCGTCTGCTGCCAGCAGGATAACTTTGGCTGTGGGACTGAAGGCAGAAATGAAGAATACATTTATCGTAATATTAAGGCCTTCAATGACTTATTCTGAAAAATCTTTGTTTCTGGAACTATGTGAAGATCAGATGAATATGACTTTCATCAAAATCATGCCTTAGGGATTGTCCAGAGTCAGTGTCTCTCAGACCTTCACATACCTTACTGGCACCATAGTGAGTTTTTCCCCATGTCAAAGTGCCTATACTGGTCCAAGGACATTCTTTGCTTAACAGGTATTTAATTTCTATCTCACTCTCCTAGAGGACATGCATCTTGATGAGAAGTTACTGTAATTTACTCAGGTTAAAAAGAAAACAACTTAAACAAGCAAACATTTATGCAGATACTGCAAAATTATACAGGTTTTTGATACCTCACTTGTTTCTCTTCTAGCTTATGTCTCCATAAAACAAGAAGTTACATATAGACATGCTTATTCCTGTTACTCCTGAGTATGTCCATGGCAGTAGCTTCTGCCCTAATTACACACTGTGATGCTGTTTAGGCTTTAGTTGGATGATATATCCATTAGTAATGGTAGAAGATGATGGTACACGTAATTATACAGGTGGCTATGCTATAAAAAAATCAGTTTGTGATTCTCTGTGTGGGCTTTGGTCCCTCCTCTGGATCTGAATGGACAGCAAAAAAAAAAACAAATGAAAAAAAGTGAGGCCAAGGTTTTTCATAGAAGTACTTCCCATTCCCATCTCTCTCATTTCAGCAAAGATAAAGAACTTTGAGAAAAACAGTACTGTGTTCCTCATCCTCTTATTTCACAGCACATTCATATGGTCTCTGAGGCAAATGATTGTGTTATAAAGCGTTCATTTATGTTAGGTTAAATAAAGTAAGCAAAGCAAAGAACATGTCTGCAGTTTCTGCTGCTACTGAGGTGGGGAGATTGTCACAAGAGGGCTGAAGATGGGAGCCTACCTGCTGCAAAATGATGGAGACATCCATGAACCAGAGCTCACACTTTGCTGCTTCTCCTACTCTCTGGTGGAGGTTTTATTACTGTAATTTTGTACAGGAATTTTCCATACAAAAATGACATTTTATGATATTCATCTTTCAGAAAAAAAAATTCCCCAAGTTTTATTGGCTCAAGATATTAGAAAGTTCTGAAATTAGTAATAATGCAAAGAAAAAGAACAGTAAGTAAAAAAAAACCAAAACAAACCAAACACGTTTTCAAAAACAGTCCTGTGATTTCAGCTTTGCACAGAAGGAGAAAGTGTTTCTGTTTGGTTTGACATCACAGAGGACACATTTATTTTTTATGACTGGAGTGTTGGAATGGAAGGTTATAGGCTCTTTAGGAAAGACAGGACAGGCAGATGGGGAGGGGGTACAGCTATTTAATGTCAATTATATGCTGGAGAGTATGGAACTCTGAGGACAGACGATAAGACAACAGAGAGCTTGTGGGGCAGGGTCAAAGGAGTGTTGTGTCCTGAATAGAAGGAAATGCAGCAGGAGGTGCCAGGAAACCTTGATGGATGGATAAGGAGCTGCTGAGAAAACTCAGAAGGAAAAAGGAAGCTTATAGAAGGTGGAAGTGAGGACAAGTGGCCTGGGAGGAATACAGGGACATTGTCCAGGAAGCTAAGGACCAGGTCAGGAAAGCTAAGGCCCAGTTAGAATTGAGTCCATCCAGGGATGTCAAAGATAACAGGAAGGGCTTCTATAGGTATGTAGCAAACAAAAGACAGACTAGGAGCAATGTGGGCCCTTTCCAAACGGAAACAGAACAGGGGATGTAGACATACAGCCATATTAAAAAAACCCATGCCTGCTTAAAATGGTGTGCATTGATTGATACAATTGCAAAAAGACCAGGACAATTCCAATACAGACTGGCTTCTGTTATTCAGTAGTGACTTTAGCAGAGGAAACCTAGCATCTCAACATGTTGTTTTTCAACTGTGAAAACCGTATCATTACACGGTCTCTTGTGGGAACAAATTCTTTCCCATTCATCATTTTCTATCCTCTGATTTTTACAACACACTGCAGCGCTTGTTTGCACCATTTCTGTATACATGGACAATGTATGATATATCAAACCATCATGTTCACTTAAAGCAGCGACGTGCTGTTGAAAAACTGTCTCTCTGTTTTAGAAAAGTCATAAAATATTAATTGCTTAATCAGTACAAGAAGTGGAGAATGTATTATATTTTCCACCAAAACACATGATAATTGCACCCACGAAGCCTGCTTGCATATGATTGACATACCATGGGATGAAAAAACTGACAGACTGCTGCTAGCTGATGGAGAAGCAGGATGTGCTGCTGTTTATGAGAGCAATAGCTAGCAGGGAAATACAGCTGTTACACAAGCTAATGCAGTATTTGCTAATTACATAATCAGTCTTAGAAGAAAATGAGCACCAGAGGAGTTATTATGTAGCTGGCTATCTTAAATATGCATAAAAAAAAATGTTTAGGAAAGGATTAAGGAAGTCTGGTTTAGAATACAATTTAAAACCGGCTCTAAGGTGAAAACGGAGAGTCATATTTGGCTGCAGTTAGCAGGACAACTCAATAGCCCTCCTGAAAGGTCGAACTGTACATGCTGTCACGAAGCACACTGAGATTATATTGCAGAGGTGTTAAGAGCTCTTCTATGAGGTCTGCATTGCTGTCCTGGTCTGGGGATAGCCCTGGGTGGTCTGTCTCCCTTGGCATGCTTAGTGGCCTCTTTGGGCACAGTGGCAGTGGGGCATGGGCAGCCCCCACCACGTGCCCATAACGGTGCCCCCAGCACCATCCCTGCTGCTGAAATGAAACAAAATGTATTAGCAAGGGTCAACTGGGGTCAACAAGGCATGGAAAGACAACCACTCCTGATGACTGAGACAAGGGCTGAAGGAATCAACTGGAGATCAAATTGCCTCCTTTGATCTCTCACCCATCAGTACAATAATTATACAATACTTTGGCTTTGTTTATGGCTCTATTTTAACCTTGCTTGGTGACTTTCTATTGGACAATGATCATAATTAGGACTGTTGATTACGATAATTAACATTCTTTTTCTAATTGTCTGACAACCTCACATGATTTGAAAGATGTTTTAAGAGTAAAATGATTACTGTAACACTTGATCTTATCCTAACTCACTAAAACTCTAAACAAGTTGTCAACAGAAAAGTTATTTGGAGATATTCCTTTATAGCTCTTGAGACCAAAGAAGTGATGATGCAGGTAACAACAGAAGAAACAGATTCATTCTTTTTACACAGAACTGAAGTACAAGATCGCATGCACTGTAAAAATAGACCTATAACCTTAGTTATTCTATGCACACACAGTTTTGAATGGGCAAGGGCGATAAACCCATCTAAGATGACAGGATGGACAGATTCTGGTAGCATTATTTATCACTTTGCTTAAAGAAAAAGCAGCACTTTTTTTTTTTATGCTGTTTTCTTACCACAACATTAAAAGAATTTCTGCATTTATCTTCAGTATGAAAGGAAACAAGAAATCGGTCACTGTACTCATCCATGTTGACCACTATTCACAAATGCATTAGAAATCTGCTTTTCCTATTCAATATAGGACTGGATATATTACAGTCAGTAAACCAGATAATAACAATGAATGATACTATATTTTCAACAGACTTATGAAATCAAAATGCCAGGCTTATATCCTAATTTAAACTGCTTAATAATGTAATTTTAACTCCTAAATGAAGCTTCATTGTCTGTCTTTTCTTCTGTGTGTTGGCATTCCTCTGTACAACAGTCTGTATACACAGCTAATTTTAGTATTAACCTCACAGCACCAGTTTCAGTCACTTTGAGCACTTGAACAGAAATCACATTGGAACAGAAAAGCCCTCGGATCTCAGTTTTCTCTCATCAGTTTACAGATAGTGTCACCTGATAATTTTGCTACTTTTTTCATTGTTTCCCCTATCATTGTGCTTTATGCAGTGGTGCTAGTCCTGCAAAGGCAGATGATGCAATAATGTGAAAGCGGTTGGAAAAGAACCTCAAAACCACAGTCACGCTCAGTATCAAGGCAAAACAACTGACAACAGCGTTTTTGGCTAAAGCAGGCACCTAACCTAAGCTGAAGTTACTACTGTATAACATACCTGGTAATGCATTAATATATGCATGATGTAATCATATATTTCTCCGGCGAGTCGGTTTTCAGGTCTCCAGGGAATAATAACAAACTGAATTCCTAGCAAGGGCACCAGGATTAAAGTGGCTCTGACAGCTTTCATATACATGTTGGACTCAGCACGGTGGGTATCTCTTAGCTTTGTCACCAAAACTCGGACAATGTTAAGCAAAAAGAAAAAATTGACCTGCAAAAGCAAAGCCATTATAGGTGAAAGCATTAAACAGACATTCAAAATAAAAATGCAGAGCATATAAAAAGCAGTAGAATGTAACTTTCTAGTTTTATCAAAGCCCATAATGGGCAGAGCCCTGGGAGTCAGGCCTTGGGAAGTACCTTGAATATTTTCAGAAAGGAGGTGTTAAGCTGCTCTGTATGCTTCCCTTAAGAAGCCTAAGGGATGTTTCAGGCAGGCAGGGTTCAGTTCTAGGAAGCATTGACTGTTTTGACACTGATGTGGGCAAATTTAGGATTTCCAGGGAACAACTGATCTCATTTTTATGTCTAAAGTTTAAATGAATGGATGAACTGTCTCCTAGGAGTAACCATGTCTCTCTTCCGAATCTGAAAATCAGCTCAGGTATCTTGCTTCAGTCCACACTGACGATGTCTGCAGCCAGGTGAGACAAACCCCAGCATGACTTTGGAGGTATGTGACCTATGGGAACACAGAGTTTCTTTGAAGAATGTCAATGCCCAAATTTCATAGACATATGAGAAATTTCAGTTGAATCTTTCAGAATAATAAAACACAAATCATGAAGCTTTGGTAAAGCATTTCATCACTTAACTACTCAGAGACCTTCAACTGTTTTACATTCGTGCTCTACTAGAAAAAAAGGAATAATAAATGACTTCTGGGGTCCCATTCAGCATTAAATTTAAACCTTATTCTCTAGCCTACTTTAACTTCACCCACTCTGCTTAACCTTCACTTTTAGAATTTATGGAGATAACTGAAAAGTAGAAAAGAGACTTTAAAAAGGTAAAAATCCTCAGATCTCCTGAGTCAGTCTGTCACTATGGGGTTTTTAGTAGCAAATCATTGACAACATTCTGTAGACATTGACATCTTCACAAGAAAAATAATACTGGAAATGGCATAAGCACAGGCCAGAAATTATAATGCCTTATTTTTAGAACAGTTAAAGAGTGTTCTTTTTCCATAAAACCAGGCCCTTCTTTTTTCTTTGTGGCGAAGTTTTACAGACTTGGAGTATGGTGGTAAACACAAAGGTTGAATGGCCTCTCCTAGAAGCTAGTAGGCATTGTAACAGCAAAAGAAATCAAGATTGAACCAGTAAGCCCACAATAGATACAGGTTGATGGAAGCAGCAGACTATCGATGTGGCAGGGAGGAATGGGCTTCACACCGCTGATGTGCAAGACTGCTTCTCAAGAAAGGGCAGAAACATATTCAGGTTTTTCAGCTATTAGATGGCGTTCCCAGTATTCATCACCCTACTGTTTGATCTCCAAGGTAATTACTGCAGGTACATTCATGCAGATGTTTGCAAGCAAGAGACAGCTCAAAAGTTGAAAGTGTATCTTGTGTGACACACTGAGGATGGCTTGGGGCAAATAAAACCCTTCCTGCACTTTTCAGGAAGGTCAGGGTTACTGTGGAAAATAGCACCACTGGCACAAGATGCTATATGCATACACAGTGCTGAGCTGCACTTTGCATCTTGTCCTTCTACTGAGATAGTCCAGTCCAGTCCCTTCTCTGGACTAGTGAATCTCCCTACCTTTAGGCCATACCAGTTCAGTGACCAGTAAAACTTGTGCTGAGCAACCAGCCTGCACTCAGTTCACCCCAGCTAAGGCATACCTAAATGTCTCACTGATGTCATATAAAAGGCAGTACATTTGTCACAAGTTATGCTTAAGTGACCTCCCTGATTTTCAAAAGCAGTTACTGATTCTGTTTGCTTTAAAATCTGATTCTTTACTGTGAGGTCTCCTTACAGGAGTTGGTTTTGAAAGGTACTGTGCCTTTGTAATACTAAGTACAGAAAATCTCTAGCTACTTTCAGGTTTTGACCAAAATAATTAAAGTACAGGATCTTATCTTCTGTACAGGTTAGCAGCATTCCTAAAATAATTATTAAACTGTTGACGGAAAATAATATTCTTACCAATAAAGCTGCCATTACAGGTCCATGAACAATATAGAGCAAGTGCGTGTCAACACTCATCCAGCAGCTGGAGGGGAAATACACCATTAAAATTTATTTTTAACTCAAATCAAATTCATTACACAAATAATGCTAAGCTCCTTCAAGACCAGGCATACTACTCACTTGTCATTGAAGTATCTGGCTCTTGCAACAGCGTGAATAGATGCTGGCACTAAAGGGAACCCTGAAATGATTAAAGTTTAACATCAGTCTTGGTATATTTTTAGTGTGAATTTCATGTGCCACACACACTATTGAGGCTCTTGGCCACAGAACACATGCATGTGAAATCACAGCTTTCAGGAAAGAACCGCACGTCCTATCATTCTGAGTGCCCTAGTATTACTTCAACAGTAAGATGCAAAAGGGAAGGAAGTTTAAGGCAGGCCAAAAGGATAAGCAAAGCCCTCAGGCTGTGTTCTCCTGGGGTGTCACACAAAGCTGCTGCCAGGCTCCCCTGCACTGCTGCAACTAGTGCAGCAGAGAGAGGTGTGAGCAGCCAGTGTGGGAAGGATGCAGAGATCATTCAGTTCTCAGCAGAGTATTCCCTTGGGAAACCAGAGACCCTAGTTAGAAGCACGTAAATTACTATTGAGCAAGAGAGAGGCACATTATCTGACATGCCAGATTATGGAGCAATAAACAACAGTGAGGAGCAGCTCTTTTGGAGCCTAAGGCAAGACAAAATGTTTGGAGCCAGGTTTTCTGGGGATGGGGATTTGTGACATATTCTGCAGCTTCTTAGCCTCTGTGTAGCCAGGCCCACCCCATGCAGCTTTATCTCAGCAGGGAGAAGAGCTGTAGATACCATAAATCGAGATCCCCTGAATTATCTGTGAAGCCCCAGGGGAGGCCACTGATCTGACAGGCAGCTGATAGGAGCAAATTTGCACTGTGCCAGAGGCTTGGGAATGTGCTATGTTAACAAACTGAAAGCCTCAAATTCTTATTTCCAGCCTGACACTAAGTGACAATCTGGTCCGCTGCTGTCCATCTTCCTTCAGCTTGCTTGTATGTTGTGTCCCTCTCCAACAGGGTATAAACCTGGAACTGGGGAGTCTGCATGATACTGTATGAAGTTTGTGCAATGCTGCACATACAGACAGCTGACCAGTGGGGAGGTAACGTACTGCCTTGTCTGTTCTGGAAGAGAGCTTTGTGGACATCTTTGGTGATACTTCTGCCTTTCCCTATGAACCATGAACATTTTCCCTGAGCTTTGGGCATTCTACAATTATAAATATAAATGTGTGAAAAAGTGATACCTTTATTAGTCACAGAGTGAAGAACATGGCTGCTTGTTTCTTCAGCTGTTAAGTGATTTCATAAACACTTTTAGAAGAGACAGAGAATCCTTAGCCAAAATCTGGGGGAGTCTAATATCAGAACACAGGCGAGCTAATGCAGGAGTGAGAATACAGTCAAAAAAGTATGTAAATAGGACACTGTGATGTCTCCAGGTATCTTTGAGCAGCAGCTACTTTACTGCCAAAAAAGGTTCTTACTGCAGTGTACCTTGTGAGGACAATGCAGCTGTGGGAGAACAAAGTGGACTGCCTTCTCCTTTATATATTGTTAGATGATTGCTTGGCCCCTTGGCTGCAGAACGCCTTTTTATGGGGGTGATGATGCAGAACTAAAAGCTCAGAACAGAATGAAAGGAGCTTCCAGGCTCAGGGTGAGTTTATGGGATTGACAGTTTGAGAAAATCCTTTTCATTTGGAAATGGAGCAAGTCTGGGCCAGCTTTGTTGACAGACAGATTGAAGTGCAATTTTTAAGGGGCTTTTCTGTAACAGCAAAAATACTTCATCTGAAAGCTCTGGCATGGAGTTTCACGAGTAGTATGCCCCACATGATGCCAAGGGACCTTTTCTCTTCTGCTAAACGCATTAGCCTAGAATATTTGGCTCAACAAACTCACAAGCAAATCTTAAGATGCAACGGAAAGTTTTCATTAGTCAGTTATGGGGTAAGAAGCTCATGACTGTCTACAGCTGATATTTCCAGCTACAGGCTGGATGTGCGCTTGTAGTGCTAGATGTGCTCTGCTCTTGTAAAGGGCCAAAAGGCAGAGTTAATGAGAAGTGGAGCACCCAGGTCTGTTGGGTCTTGGTGGCATAACATGTATGGCTCCAGGGGTCCCACCAACACATGATGAGCAAAGAGTAAAGTAGAAAAGGTCTTATCCCAGTCATCCCAGGAAAGGTATGGCATACCTATCGCTTTAGGTCAATGCCAGGTCCTTTATGACACAAACTGGCAACTGTGTTTACTTGTATTACCAGTTGAACTTGGAAGGCATTCTGTTTCAGCACTGTCCAAGTAAATAACTCCTTTTTCACTTTGTGTGGATGAGGCTGCCTGAAGCAGCAAGAGTGGACTGTAGCTGGATGCATAAATTTGATACTGCTTTCTTGCTCTGCAAAAGGGTGATTTCCTGACCCAGTGAAACTATAACAAATAAGAAATGACATCCTCAGCAGCACTTCCCAGCAAAGGGGTCACCTGAAGGCATCGGCATTGATATACATCTGCCCATGTCAGATTCTATTCAATCATCTCAAACCTTTTTAGAAATCTTTTACACTTGCTCAGACTTCTATTTTTCTTATAAAGATATTTTACAAAAGTCATTAGTTATTTTTCCAAATAAATCTAGATGCTCTTGCACAGGGACTAGTTATAAGAATGAATAATGAGTAACTTCATCTTGTGTTGTACATTTGCTGATCTTTCAAATTGCAATTCAGAGCACAACCTGCTCTGGTTTCTCTGCACTGTTCTTTGGAGAAATGTGTCTCTCCCCATTGATTAACATAGCTGGATGTTGAAAGTCAGACTGCGTGATGACTGCTTCTGGAATCAGTGGAATTACACTGATTTATGCAAGCTTAACGGGTGGCCAGATAGTCTTGGCTAGATCATTTTACTATTAATGATTCCTACTTTAGTTATGACATACTAATGATTACCTTTTTTTGCGTAGTACTCATCTAGTTTAACGAAAAAGGCTGCTGGCTTCATAGCCAAGAGTTGTGTCCATTTTTATTAACTTTTTCCTTCTCAAGATATATTCATCCTATTACCACTGTCACCATCCTATTTATTTTCTGGGCAGTGCTCCAGATACTAATGAGTTTCTTACCACATAACTTCACTGAATTACCCACCATGATGCTAGTGCCATTCTCAGCAACATTATAGCTAGCTCATGAGCTTTCATGGCAGCCTAGCTGTCCCAGTTGCATTAAATGGCACTGCCTAAATTGAATGTCACCTGAGAAAAATATGTTTATGACTATTTTCCTCTTGCATAATTGGATATAAAATGACACTATTTTGGGAAGGCTTATGTTGCAAGACATGAAAATGGGAAAAGCTTTATTTGGAAAGAAACATTTTAAATGACTCCTGACATAGGGCTGCCATTTCAAAAACAGAGCCCTATCTGACATTGTATATCCAAATATTCTGAACTATGAAAACCTTATGACAGTACAGTTGGCTGCTCAAAGAGGGCTCAGCTATTTAGATTGACAAAGTCCAAAAACTTTGACTCAATTTAAGGTTCTTCAGGAATGTTATCTTCATTTAAGAGTTGATGATGCTCCATGTACTTCTAATTTCAAAAGCCCAAGAGGTTCTTCGCAGAAAAGATTCACTCTTATAGGAAAAAAGAGTGCATAATGGCATTCTGATTAAAAAAATAGTTCTTACATGCCTTAGAACAATCCATATAAACTAGAATATCATGCCGATTTTCTAGGTATCTAATGTAGGTATCCAGAAAGCACGAAGTCTTGTACCATAAGAGGCAAGTAAGTTACCAGGCTCTTATATGAAAATTCAAACAGGGGAAGAACCTCTTACTTAGGACCTGATATTGGATGCCTAATTAGTGGTTGAAGTCAGAGTTTTGAAGTTCTTCAGAACACTCAGAACTGGGTCATTTTGCTCTGACTGAATTAATTCCTAATTTTTCTCTGTTTAAGCAGTAGGGCTACTTCTTATTTTCCTGCTGTTAACGAAATAATGCTGAGCAAGTATAACACCTCCAAAGAGGATGGAAAATAAAGAGTAAATTCTTTCTGCTTCAGACTGCAATTGCAAGAGATGAATAATAGTGAACTATTTGAAGTGCTGTGGATAGGTACCATATTAATATTTCTCCACATAAAGTGACAAAAATACGTAACTTCTGTTCAGAAAAGAGATATGTTTGGATAGAAATCTATTTGTCTCCCAAAGCTTTGTTTAACAAAACTTAAAACATTTCTTTCAGCCAATCCCAAGATGGTTCAAATAATAGATACCAACTCCTGCTGATTTTTCCAAGTCTCTAGGCCCACCCAAATAAATGAACTCAACTGTAGGACCCAAGAACTCAATCATAAGCTATGAACTAGTGGTGTACATACAACGATTTAGTTGCCTAAGTACTAGGAGAATTCAAACATGTGAAATAATTAACCATCTTGCTACGAATTATATCATACATACCCCAGCCCAGGAGGTAATACCAGTGCAAACGCTGCTCCTCAGCAAACACTGCCACCACAATCAGTGTGTGAAGATAAATGCCTTCGCAGAGCATCCAGAAGTAGTTGCAGCCCAACATGTACTGATGAAAGAATTGCAGGACTTTGCAGCTTACCTGTCAGACAAATGAGATAATGTCACACACCTGCCAGCATTTTGTATTTAAGCAGGCAAAGACAAATGTTACTGCTAGGAAGGTAAGTGGAACAAAAATCTCCAGCTCTTGCTAGGTTTGTTCAGCACCTATCAGTGACAGGGACTTTAAACTTTTATAAATGAAGTAGATGGAACAAACAGCTCTCACAAGGTAAGATAGAAAAAAAATTATGCTAACAGCACTCCAAAAAGTACCACATAACAGAAAATCCCCTTCAGATGTCAGTAAACTGATGTTTTTTAGAAACCAAAACAAACAAGTTGTTCTTGATGTGCAAGAAAGGCTGTGAAGAAGATAGCAACTTAGAGTTCCAGTTTGAGTGATTTCTTTTATTTTTGATTGAACTTTTCTAAGGTTTGTTCAGCTCTCCCATCTCAGCCAGGGTTACTTACTCTGTAAATTGTACCCAGCTCTGAACATACTCCTTTGTGAAAGGCAAATGCTGTTGGCAATGGAGATTTTTTTTCTAGGGTACCAGGGATACTGGCTTTGCCTCTTCATGAGAAGACAGCTTTATCTTATCCAAATAGCAAAGCAACACAGCTAAATGGAGCTGGTGAAGTTGGGAAGTGGCTCCCACCCGCAGTTCAGGTGAAGTTGCAGACATGCACCTTGAAAGAGACTGGCTTCAAAATGCTGGGAAGTGGTGAGCAGATGGTGGAGGGGAGTGTGCTGTGTCCACCACTAGTGAGTAAGTGGGGGGCAATGCCATTTCTCTTCTGAGAGGATCTCATGTCCATCCACCTCCTCAGAGAGTGCAATGAGGTCATCCACATGGGCTTCTAAGCAACCAGCACCAAGTAAGGCCAGGAGGAATGGGAGGGCTTTGCTGTGCCAGCACTGACCCACTGTCCCTGGGGAAGCACCATATGCTACATGGGAATCTGAAGTCACAGAAATGACGGCAAAGTGACAATCATCGTTTGTGGCCACAGAAAAATACACTTTTCCCTGAACTTCTGCAGGTATTTCCAGATGACCAACTGGGCTGTACTGAGATCACTTTAGGATTTATTTCTCTCTTTAAAATGACATTTTGGCAGGTCAGCAGGTAGAGGACTGGTTGTTCTGCATCTGTCTGGACTGTCCCCTGAACCAGAAAAGCTTATTAGACATCCAGTGAAACACCTCCTGTTGCTGATAAACATTCCCAAAGCAACTGCTCAAACGTGTGTTTATTCTGTTTCAGTATTTGGGGCGCAGCTTGGTGCTCATGAAAATATAGGATTATTGATAAGTTAGGATATTGGATTCTGACAGGATTAACTTGAAGGACTGATTTTTATTTTTGGCAATTCATTTTTTCTCCTCACCACACACGGCAGAGCGGACAGTCACATCTTTTTTCCACAGTGTCTGAACAGTTCTTATAAACTGTGCCCAAGAAGGGCTGTAGAGTGGTTTGAGAAGGTTAAAAAAAAAAAGGAAGAAGTATTCACTCCTTCTTCTGTTGTCAGGTGTGTTCATTAAGGTTCTTAAATTATCCTTGGACTGTTTTTCACAGGTCTGGGTCAATGTGATTTTTGCCTTGTTCTCTCGCCCATACTCAATGTAGCCTCTCAGCTGGTGGTTGGCCTTTCTCCCTTCCTCCCTTATTAATCACCCATCCCCGCAAGGGCTGCTTTGACCCAAAGGCACTTGCAAAAGGCTGCGCACACTTTCAGGTGGCACCACCCCTGACATCAGCCAGCTACCCCAGACTCTAAAAGTCAGCAAAAATTATGAGGCATCACAGCAGTTTTCCAGACAGGTTTGATAAAATCCACCGAGTCCCGGTTTGGGCAGGGCCAGCCCCATGCTCCCACTATGAGGATCTGCAAGGAGGAGCTGCAGGTCAGCGGGCTGACCTGAAAGCTTAAGGCTTAATTTCCTGTGGGAGTGATGTGGGGTGCTTGCACATTGCATGCAGGCTGATCCTGCTTGGGCTAGTGCCAAAGTTACCCAGCTTTTCATCCAGCCACTGGGGCTCTGGGCATGGTCTTGTACTACAGCCAGGCAGCTGGAGGGGAGCAGAGCACAGCCATTAAGTTCTGCAACAAAATCACGGCATCATAGAATGGTTTCAGTTGGAAGAGACCTTAAAGATCATCTAGTTCCAACCCTCAACTGGTGTCTCCCCGGGGCACACCAATCCATGGTATGTTTTCATACCTCACCTCTCATTTCAACTTAATGCTTTCACCATTTCACATTGCTGAACTGAAAGAGAGATGACTACAGAGTATCCTTACTTGCCTGACAGCTGTTTGCATTGTTCACTGGCTCTCTGAGCAGAGACTGATCAAACATACCTTCCATTTGAACTAAGCCAGTCTTTGCTGCAACTTTTATTTGTAGCTCAAACAAAGGCATGCATAGAAAGCACACTGCCTGAGAACTACATACCTAAATTCATTTGCTTTATTTCCCAACATTTCTTCCTTTCCTGTACCCTCCATGTGAACTATTACTTGTGGCTTTAAAAATGAAATCATATACCTATCTTTTAGAGTAACGGCCATGCAGATAGCTTATGACACTTCTGATGAATTTAATCACTTCCTACGCAGTAAGTTAAAGAAGTAAGAATACCATTGGCAAAGCATGAAGGATGGGAGTGATTAGTACTTAGATCCATAATCACATTAATTTGAGAATGAATCTGATAAAATTAGCATAAAGAGTTTAAGCACAATTGAGATGTTTTAATGCACTGAGACGAATTATGTTAAATTCATATTAGTCAAACTACAGAAAAAATAAGTCTTTGCTTTCAATAAGCTAACAAATGCAGCACATTCCATTTGTGGATGAAAGTGACACAGTGGAAATATTTTACTACAATAAAAAGAGAGTGTTTTTCTTAGATCAGAGCAGGTAAAAGAGAAGAATCTGTTTCTACTGAGAACTGGATTAATGCATCGTATAAATAAAACATGAAAAAATGTAACCAACATCTCTGTGTACGTTAGTCTTAGCTGGGAAAACTGCAGGACCAGTGAATTTTACGAAATGCTTATTCTTATGGAAACAAGTGAAATAAAACTGCAAAATTATACAGAAGCAAATTTTCTACCACTTCCATGCTTGACAACTGACTGTTAACTTTGAGCTAAAAAACATGTCCAGGTTTTGTCTTTTGCTGAAGTAAAACATATTTTGTTGCAAGTTGTTTGAGTAAGAGGCTCTGTCCTTGTTGTGTCTTGTATGATAACGCAGCAGAGTCAAATCCTGGACTCGAAGGATTATCACAGCACCTTCACACTACAGAGAGTAAAATGTGAAGAGTTCTCAGTCTATAGCTGTGCAGATGACTGAAGCTAGTGGGTTTTCACTCCCAAGCAAGGCAGACTGAGGAAATAGCTCGTCCTTTCTAGTTAGCCCAGTAACTGTAACTTAGGCTGGTGTGCCCCTGTCTCCCAAACAGGAATAAAGAAATGCTCCTCTTTTTGAGAGACTGGAGACAGATATCATTCACTGCACAGGTTGATGGATATGCAGCAAAGGAAAGATACAAGGAAAGCCCCAAAAGCTAGGCAACCACCTAAGGGAGAAGCTCCTTTGTGGTTCCAGGAGGATGGCCAAGAATGAGCCCTTTTTTGGCAGAATGCAGCTTGACAAGAAACACAATCTGTGCCCAAAGAGACTGCTTCCTGCTACTTGTTCTCATCACACTGATGAACACAAAAGCTGAGGGAAGTTCTTTACAGATCTGCAGAACAGCACCAAAGAAAAAAAAAATTTCCTTTATTGATAACTTTTTGACAACTTTCCTTCCTCATCAAAGCAACCTGCAATGGCCCTAAATACTGTCTAACTGCTCAGGGGCAAAATGAGTAAATAGGAATATGGATAGTCATACTCTTCCTGCAAATCTTGCTAGGAGTCGTGTAACTCTTGCAAACACCTCAACTGCAGTATGTAATGAGAGCACTTCAAAAGGATGCTGGAACCATTTCACAGAGAAGAAATAAAATAATTTATTCTCCTTTTACAAGAAGGAGCTAGAACAGGTGTCTATGATGTTTTGCAGGATATTTTGGCATATTACAAACACTGTTAATGTTCCAATCCTATCAAAGGACTCCCAAAGGTCTATCCGCCTACACAGAACCCTGCAATTGTGTAGTAATGGAATTGGCATGCTTGGCTAACCCAGCAGCTTCTCATAACATGTAGTTGTCATTTCCCTCTCTCCTTGGTTATCAGTTAATAGATTACGGACAGGAAGCTGCAGCATTAATTACCATCACTACCCTCTAGGGCAAATCAAAATAAAACACTCTGACTACATAAAACCCAGAATACAATCTTCAACCATAATAACAAAATCTAATGTGAAATAAACTGCTAATTGTTTTTGAGCAGGTCTTCCTAGTAATTCAGAGTAAAAGGACTGACTCTGTTTTGGTATAGGAAAGTTATAGAGATACCTGCGTCTCCTCATTCCTGTGATGCTTTGGCTGAAGGACACAGGCTGGGAAGTTAGGGGTCTGTGTTTTACACCAGCCTGCCCTATGGAAAGCAAGGATGGGCTAGCCCCCTTGTGTGTGTAACACAACCTCTCTTTTCAGATGCTTGCTATCCATTGAAATGCCCCCTGACTGACATTTCAAATAAATTATTAAAGAGTAGACCAACCAGTGTTACTGATTTTAAACCAAGCCAGCTATATGGGCCACCTCTTCAGCTGTTCACTTGTTTGTTTAAAAGGAAATAAACATATTCGACCGTATTAGCCTGGCTCGTCTTCACTTTTGTGAACCTTCCCAGTTCACAGCAGTGAAGGACCCTCCTCGAGGAGAGTTTGTACTGCTTGCCACAGAAGGCAGACATGATTTATTCAAATCCAGTTTGAAGGCAATACAATATAGTCTCAGATATTCTAGCATTTTTAAGGAATAGCATAAAGTTTGATTATGGATCTACCTTACATGCTTGCTTGTTTGTTTTTCTGGCTATTAGAGCATTATTCTATG